CCAGAATTCCTCAGTACCAGCAACCGAGGCATGTGTACCTATCCCATGGCTTCAAAACGTACAGAACGACTACGGGCACATTCACGGATACTTGGCAGTGGTAGTCTGTGTGTTTAACATCATTTCAACCACTATCAATATGGTTGTGCTCAATCAACCGTCAATGATTTCCCCTACCAACTTTCTGCTAACGATGCTTGCACTTAGCGACGGAGCCCTCACAGCGCTCTATATTCCGTTTTCTATTTATTTTCAAATTGGTGATCGGCTTCAGAGCGCCACTTATGGATGGTCTGTATTTATGATAATCTATGTGAATTTGCAAACACTTCTTCACTCGGCGTCTTGTTATATCGTTGTGACCGTGGCATTCTTCCGTGTATTGTACGTACGATGTCTCGTTCGCTGTCAGGAGCTGTGCTCTATGCAACGTGCACATTTGGCGGTTGGAATCACATTCCTACTCAGTGGGATACTCACAGTACCCTGCATGCTTTCTCATCACATCGTAAATGTGGCTGCAAGCAACACTAGTGCTTCGGATTCCTACATGGTCACCTATGTCGACAACAAAGCGCTACCCAACATCATGTACTGGAATTCAGCTTTATTTATCAAACTCCTTCCACTCATGTGTCTGGTGGTTTTGAGTCTAATCATCATTGTGACTATCCATGGTAAAAATGCCCAAATGCGCAAAATTGTATCAAGTAAACGGTCGTCCACAATGCCAAAGGGGTCGTCTAACCCTCCAGAAGACGGGGCTATGCATCAAAACAAAGGTGAAGGAAATCCGCTGAGGAAACACGGTCGTTCGTCTGTGACGCTCAGACAGACTGATACACCTCCAACAAATGGCACCAACCTCTTGCGGAATTCTGCAGCTCAAACGGAACGAGAAAAATCTGGATCTCGGATGACCCGGATGCTTTTGACTATCGTATTTTTGTTTGTTATGGCGCATCTGCCACAGGTATGTGATTTCATGAAAGGGTAAGATTGTATCCGAACTCCTCAAGTTAACCTCAATC